TTTTTAACCCAAATTTCTTTTGATATTGAAACAATACTTCCTAATGAAGAGGCCTTAAAAGAAGGTTATATTTCAATATATGCTCTAATCTTATTACAAGTAAGCATTTAAACATTCTTAAATTAAATTTATTATTATTATTATTTTTCTTATCTTTTTTATGACTTTAGATATTGACACTTCTTATTACCATACCATTAAATGCGTTTCCAATCATTGGAACATTCCTTTACTGTTATATTAATGGCTGGATAATGACCTGGGGTCATCAATTGCATTATCATTTAGAAATAAAGGAATTTAGCGTAAATCAATCAATTCGTTTCGCTTGGAGGAATCATGAAGATTATGTAATGTTTGGAATGGTCGCTGTGGCTTTAGAGTTGATCCCTATTGCCAATTTTGTGTTTTTCTGGACAAACGTTGTTGGTGCTGCACTGTGGACTGCAGATGTAAGATATTTATAAAAAAAAAAAAATTTTTTTTTATAATAACACTTATCGAATAGAAATAAGATTACTAAACCATTTTTAACTCTATAACAGGTTATTATCGAAGAGGAGAGAGCTATTTCCAGGAGGTTAGTTAATTATCATGGCTTAATTGCAAATAGAGGTGGTGTTGGGGCACCCCATTATGTTGTACAGAGGATGAATAATAATGTAAAGAATTATGGTACAACTTTTGTTTAACTAATAGGGAAGGATAAAAATTTTATATAATAATTCAAATATATTCACATCTTTTTATAAAGAACAACCTTTTTTTTTTTTTTATCAATATTGCATTTATTAGCTTATTTTTATTAGAGTAACATTACCTATTTAAATCTGTATAATTAAAAATCTTATACCCTTTTTTTTTTTGCTACAATAGTGACCTCCTATAAGCATACCCTTCCTTTTCAATCTTGAACTTGTATGATATTTACTTTCTTAAATACCGGTACTAAAATAATAAAATAAATAACTTCGAATGATCATTTCATAAAAGGTTTTATTTTAAATATCGATAAAAATGAAGTCATTTTCGCTATATATATATGTGCGTGATGTTTGGTGTAAGTTTAAAACTGAGCTGCAAATTTGATATTAAAGCGCGTCAGATCAGACTTATCTGTTACGCGTAAATTTAAAATCAAAATCGTTATAATTTTATATATATACGTTTAGGAAATTTTCGAGGCAAATGTCATAATAATTTTGAAATTTAAGACTTTTTTCTATGACTATATTTTGATTCTGATTTCCCTGGCAGATATATTATTCGTTGAAATAGATCTAGCTTTTGGGATATCTCTTCATACCTAATAGTTTCAATTACCAGTGCAATATAATATATCAATTTTCACATCCAAGTTAATATTTGAATGTTTTATTACAATTTAATTCAATTTCGGAATTATATAATTTTGTATTTGTGAAGCCAACCCATTTTTTTTCTTTTTTTTATAACTTTACTTTCTGAATGCTTGCCGCGAAATAAATTTATAATAATGTATTTTAACCCTAAATATTAATAAATCCTATATAAAAAAAGACCTCTTTATTCAAAATTTGCATCATTAGGGTTAGGGTATATTGATAGATAGTTTTATATTAATTATTAAATATTAAAATAAAATTTTTATTTAGTCTTTCTTATCAGTTATAATAAAAACTTTTTATTATACTAATTTTATACTATATATAATATTATTTATTTTTAGACTAAAAGTCTTTAAAAATAGGATTTAAAATTATTAATAAAATAAATTTAGATTAGTTACAAAATTTGAATTTTTTTTGTAATAAAAAAGATTATTCTTTTTATACAAATTTTTAAATTTTTTGATAATATTAACTGTTAGTAGATATTATATATTACTAGCAATAATTTTTAAACATATCCTTTTAATACAAGCACTATAAAACTATTAAAAAGTATTTTAAGAATATATTATTAATAATATTAATACTAATTTTAAAAATACCAGATTTAAATTTATTTAATAATATTTTTAATATACAAGTTTTATTCGGGATTGTTTGTTTCAATCGATTTATTTTTAGAAATTTTAAATTATATATCGTACTTACAATAATGTAATAACATGAGAAGTTATTATTAACATAAACTTTAAATATATTTATTACTTTTATTGTGTCAAGTATTTTCATCTTCGTTTCTTTCCTTTCCCCTTTCCTCGTCTGACTTCGTTGGGATTTCTACGACCACAACCGATCACTGGAACACCGCAAGAAGTTGAACCAGATCCAATGAAAAGTTTAGGAACATAATCTGGATCAAATATATCCACTTCTTTTTGCTTACGAAGACTCTTTAAGGCATTTTGATACTCTTTTTGATCTTCGCGAAGAATAAGATTATTGGCATGACGACCGCCTTTTGGATCTGGTATTGAATACTAATATTCATGTAAAAAGAATTTAGAATTAATGTAATTAACGTGTAGAATTTAAATTTGCATAACGATATAATTACCTTTGTTCCACGCAAATTATATTGGAAATTCTTTTTTAAATAATAAGTTATTTTGCCATTCATATCTGTACTAGTTGATGTGCGAATTAAAGTGGCGCCACCGCAAGAAGGGCAAAATTGCTTTTCCATATTGGTAGTTACTCTATATATAATTTCCACGTTATTTCTTTTTTTTAAAAAAAATTAATTAAACAAATGATAAAAACATAATTAAGTACTTGAAACACGCATGACACCGAAGGACCCAACTTTTCACTTTTTTAATTCGAGCTCCTTCAATGGAGACTAAATTCAATCCCATTTGTAATAAAACATTCTTTAAAAGAAAATTAAATTTCGAGAAAATGTAAGTACAATATAAAATAAATACCAGTAAATCAAATTTAATACATACTTGCATTGAATAATCAGTTGTCATACATGCAACCTTAATATTCACGTTTTCATCTTTTTTTGTCTTTATATTTAAATTTTGTTCTTTTTCCTGATATTTCGCTATATTATCGGGTGTTATCCATCCTTCTTCGTCATCATCATCATCATCCGACAATTTAGATTTATCAGTCATGGTGTTAATTTTTGATTTATCTGCTACATGACCACCACCAAATTGAGTGAGAGACTAAATAATTTATATTTTAGTAATAATAAAATAAGATGGGATCGTTGTAATAACTAAATAAAATATTTTTTTATTACTCTAACAGGTTCTTTACGTAATCGTTTCGTGCCATTTACTTGAACCTCGAGCATATATGTTAATGCCATGACTCTCAAATCAATGGCAGACAAACTTGCATAGTCACCGGTTTTTTTCGAAAAATTTACAACTATCAATTAATTAAAATAATGATAATAATTAGAATAGAAATTAAATTAAGAATGAAAGAAATAAGATTGAAATATAACCTTCTTTTAAGGCCTCTTCATTAGGAAGTATTGTTTCAATATCAAAAGAAATTTGGGTTAAAAA